CTGGAGATCTACAGGACTGACTCAAATCTCTTCAAATGTCACTCTACCGGAGGCCCTTCCTAAGTACTCTATACAAATGAACTTTTCTCCATAGCACTCAGACATATATTATTTATGTTCTACCCCTCCCCCACCATTAGACTTGAGCACAGATGGCCAATAAAGTCTTAAATGACTGAGTCTAACTTGTTAGGAACTCTATTAAATACAAATGAGGTAAGCTAAATTAATGTACTCTTTCAGTCCAGAGAAAATGTTACAGAAAGAATTCTGGAAGAAACAGAAGGCATCATCGTACATCCTAACCAGGAACCTGCAGTGATAGCTGGGCAAGGGACAATTGCCATGGAAGTGCTAAACCAGGTAAAAGCTTAGTTCTTCTCACTGAGCTACTAGCAGACCTGAGGTTTGGCTGTATAGTCAACTATTTTATATGTACATATAAAGCTGGTTGTTAAATAGAGCTATTTATATTTTCACTAAAGGTTCCCTTGGTAGATGCACTGGTGGTACCTGTAGGAGGAGGAGGAATGGTTGCTGGAATAGCAATTACAGTTAAGGTGAGAAAACAACTTCTGGAGGACTCCTCACTTCAGCAGAGGATTTTATTTTACATCATAATACATTGTGGTATTTGTTCAACATTTCCTTCAAACTGCTGTTCCTTGCCATTATTCTTTGGCACTTGAAATGGAAGTCCCTTCTCTGCCTCATTACCCTTTTCATTTTTTTTTTTTTTTAAATCTCACTACCCTTTTTTTAAATCAACTTTATAACACAAAAGCAGTTACAATGAGTGGCACCCTCACAGTCCTGTGCCTGAATTCCAAGCTACCAGTAGAACTAGATGTGATCTAGGCAACTGACAGCCAGTATTAGGCATACAATTTAAAGTGCTTTAAGGTCATATTTTCGTTACATCTGTCATAGATAAGGCTCTTACTTGGGCAGAAATGTGTTACATGTACTGCCTATTTTACTGCAGGCATGCAGGCAAAATGCTGTGGCTAGTGATAAGATGTCTAATATTCCTCTTTCCAGGCTCTGAGACCTAGTGTGAAGGTATATGCTGCCGAACCCTTGAATGCAGATGACTGCTACCAGTCCAAGCTGAAAGGGGAACTGACCCCCAATCCCTGTCCTCCAGAAACCATAGCAGATGGTGTCAAATCCAGCATTGGCTTAAACACCTGGCCTATTATAAGGGACCTTGTGGATGATGTCTTCATTGTCACAGAGGATGAAATTAAGGTGAGGCTCCAACAGAAAAGAAAATAACAAGAACAGAGCAACTTCTTTGGCAAAAAAAAACTTCTCTTGTATGTAGCAACTCTTCCTCTGAGGACTTGACTGAGGTGACTTCATGACATGTGAGAGGGTGCCTAGATATTAGGACAACCCTCTCAACAGTAGAAGCAGTTAGGATGAAAAAAAGTCGTGTGTGTGTCTCATTTGACCTTTAACTGTAAAGGCCAACCAAGTAGGCTTTTTCCCCTTCTCCATTTCACTAATTCTTATTCCCTTCTATACCAACAGTATGCAACCCAGCTGGTGTGGGAGAGGATGAAACTGCTTATTGAACCTACAGCTGGTGTTGGAGTGGCTGCTGTGCTGTCTCAACATTTTCAAACAGTTTCCCCAGAAGTAAAGAACATTTGTATTGTGCTCAGTGGTGGAAATGTAGACTTAACCTCCGTAACCTGGGTGAAGCAGGCTGAAAGGCCATCTCCTTATCAATCTGTTTCTGTTTAATTTACGCATAAGGAAGAAATGGGATTCCGTGTCTCTAAAACATTTGGAATTTTTGTTTCCTAGTCACTGTCAACTTCCCATCTTACTCTCTTAAACAGCTTTCAAAATCCTAATGGAGAGTGGATATTTCAGTAAGATTTAATAGTTTTTTGGACTAAGCAGTAGACACACATCCATACTTAACTGAGATACCTTGTCAAGGCCAAGGTATCTTTTGCGAAAAGGGGCAGCAGACCTCTAGGCTAAAGTTGACAACACAAACTTTGCCCCATCACAACCTGTAGGTTCCCAGCAATGAGACAGAATCCCACTGAATCCATTATTCCATGTCTACCTCAGGCCTCATAGAAGAAATCTCACTTTTCACCCAAGGTACTGGTTCTGGTACATGTGGATCATAAGTCCATTTGGGGAAAACTCGTTTGTAGAGGTTCATCAGTACTGTGTCCTGAGATTTTAGCTTCCCATCAAAACTGCACTTCATATGGCCATGAGTACCTAGGTCAAATTAAAACAAAATTTTAGCAGTGGTCTTCTACCCTAATAGTCATTTAGTAGCACTGTGGAAATCTAGCCAAGGTTCCAAATACCATGCTCTCTTACCTAAAGGCTCCTTGATGTGTCCTCTGCGGCCCCACTTTGTTCTCAGTTCCACCGGTTTAAACCACAGCACATCCTCTTAGAATGATACACACAGAAGACCAAGATTAAAGATGAAACATTTACCCACAAAATGTAACCCCAACCTTCACCCAACAAAGGCAATCAGATTCCGTCCTTCACACCTACCTCTACTGAAGAACATGTAACGCACTACTGCCATCTTAGTAAAAATTTTGAAAGGATGACCACTCAGAACGACCCTCTTGATGACCATTCTGTCCGGATCCACTGACAATAGATGGCCTGTGGCAATAAGGCTGTGCATTCCTAAAGGACAAAAACAGAGCAGCAGGAGTCTACAGGTCAAAGCCTTCATTTATTGCTCCAATCCATTTTTAAAGACCTATGCAAGATCTTAGAGAAACCTTAAAGTAGGGGTGTACTGTGCTGCCCTCCTGGGTCCATAGCAAAGATCACTAAGTGATATTCCT